ATTGTTCTGTTGTGCCCTAGCACATAGGGTTCGCAATCGGTTTTTACTATTTCGTCTGGTCCTGTAGAGTTTCAGGAAATGAGAGAACTAGCAAAATGAATAAAAACACAAAAGGTGGTAAATGCAGAAGAAGCTGACCTACCAGTCTGTTATCAACAGAAGAAGCTAACCTACCAGTCTGTTATCAACAGAAGAAGCTAACCTACCAGTCTGTTATCAACAGAAGAAGCTAACCTACCAGTCTGTTATCAACAGAAGAAGCTGACCTACCAGTCTGTTATCAACAGAAGAAGCTGACCTACCAGTCTGTTATCAACAGAAGAAGCTGACCTACCAGTCTGTTATCAACAGAAGAAGCTGACCTACCAGTCTGTTATCAACAGAAGAAGCTGACCTACCAGTCTGTTATCAACAGAAGAAGACAATAATCAATTTAATCAGAAAGCCACCGAAACTGGCACAAGACCATCACCATATTTTCGATAGATCATAATAAGTTATTATTCTACGCCTTAGAACCGGGAACAATCGGATTCAGAGCCATATGTAAACAACAAAATTTAGGATTGGCCATTCAGTCATTGTACATGTGAATTGGCACCTGAGAAAACAGGTCACGTCCTCCAAGACAAAGTACAAAACACAGTAAATAGGAAACATTGCTGATATATTTAATATTTAATCTAATGCAACAGAAGCAAAGAAAAAAAAGAAAAAGAAAAATGTTCTGTGCAATAAAGTCGATACCACTGAATGAATCCAGTCAAGCGCCTTTAGCCTCTCTCTCGTCAACATTTGTTTGAGGGTTGAGTTATGAGTTAGATTATCTTCACAGCACTCCAGACACATCCATAGGCGCTCAGATTCCCCTCGCAACATATTCATCAGTGTTGTACGGTTAATAATGCCAGTCCTGTGTTGGTTAACAAGACTTCGTGTGAGTCACGTGTGCTTCTAATGCTTAGCTGTGCCGATATTTACTCACAATTCTCGTATTCTTAGCAGTGATGTGGACACGTTGCTTCCAAAATCCTCAGAACTTCCTATCTATCTAAGGGCAATGGCAATGTCTGCGTGATCCATGGGCCGGCCATCTTCAATTAATTTTGCCCCTGCCAGTCTATCAACTCCTTTATTACCAATTTGTTTTGTGTGTGCAAATTATGGTTTCCTCAGTACCTTTATTTTCCACCTTAGTGCCTGTTTTGGTGACTTTCTGCTTGTTTCTCTTCAGGAGGTGTCCAAAGTAATTCTTTCCGGTCTTACATATGATGTTACCGGTGGCTGAACAGATTATTCTCTTCTTTCAACACTATTCCTGTTTCAAGTTACAGATTATTTGATGCTTATTCTGTGTATGTATGTTCTAGGACTGTCGTGCCCTATATCTGAAGCCACGCTATGATTGTTTGATTCTTCCTATCATGTTTCTGTTTGCTATCACTCCCTTGACTGCAGACATCATTCAGCTTCGCCAACCCCACCCCGTTTTCCCAGAGTATTGTAAAGAAGTTTTGCAAATGCACACATTGTGATCGTCAGTCGCTGAAGCAGAAGAATATAGCAGAGAGTAAAAGCCGTGCTCTGTGTCATTGCCTAGTTACAGCCGTAAGCATATTTAAACAGTCATAGGCAGTGAGCGTGCGCTTGCCTTGGTAAAACAGGTCGTTGCTTTTCTGAGTGGTTGAATTTGTACTTCCATTGTAAAAGATTTACCTGGCTGCTTCATGTGTTTTAAATGTTACTGTGGCATGTACCCGGCGAGATACAGCGAAATTAACCAGACAGTAAACTGTGCATTAGGAACAGGAAATGCAACCTGAAAACTTTATGTTATGGAGGGCAGACTAGGCTGCAAGTACTGGCTAGGCAGCTGTACTAGGAAGGAAGCTCCGATAGGCGAACAGATTGAGTAATGCCCTTCCGATCCGGCAGCTTCTGCAGCCTGCTTTGATTCAAACGTACTGGTGTTACCTTTCCTTTAGAATGAACAAGGCAGGTCAAGAGGGGTCGTAATGCATGGGCAACATATGGTTTCTACAACAGTGCCTAGGCTTCGTGCTAGGGAGAGTATGAGCCGTAGGCTGTGAGTCCCATGGCTTCTCATAACGCAATATAACATGGGAAAGTGCCAATCATTATTAGATTGTGCAATCCGTTCTTTGTGTCTTCTTTGTTCAGATTTCATAATCACCGAGTGCCTTGTCGACGAGTGCATCCTCTCCACAATCTGCGATCTGCAACCGCGTATATCATTTTGTGTGCTGACACCCCTCCAAATGCTGTTAAGAAATTTCTCGTCTTTTCTTCTTTGCCTCTCTTTCTCCAGATCTTCCCAGTTGTCCAGATACGTTCTAGTTTTCTTCTTCTCATAACATGACTAACGAATTATGACTATCTCTTTCTCATGTTTGTGATTAGTTGTCTTCAAACTCTTGCCTTTTTCAAAATATCTGGTCTGCTCTTTTTGACTGTCCAAGGAATTCTAAGGATTCTTCTGTAAAACCACATCTCCGAGGCCTGAAGACAATGTTTGGCTGGTTTTTTTAATTGCCCAGCATTTACACTCGTATGTTAAAACTAGCTCTATTTAGCATGCAATAATTCTTTTCCTAACCTCCAATTCTTCTAGATGCGTATCCTTTAAAGGAAGCTGCAGAACCAACCCCGGAATAGTTTGCCTGTTGTGGTTTTTCTAGGCAAATTTTACTTTCAGTAGTTTGCCATTGCCCTGGACGGTCAGCTCTGGGTACCACTGTCGAAACCAGTCGAAACAAATTATGCTAAATGAGGCGAGTATCATGTGGCAATGTTAGGTGCAGGTGATCAGTAAATGTTAAAATCATCGCATCGATAAGTTACATGATTGGTTTTAGTGGTCACTGGAATATCATGTCATATGGCGTTATGACTTTTTATGTAATACAATTTGAAAATTCAGATAAATGAGACGGGAGTCGAGTCACAGTGTTAGGCTCAGTAAGGGGGCAAGTCGCCATGTTGGTTTAAAAGATGTGATCGGTTTGGGGACCTCTGTGTCTAATGGTGATAGCTTTTGAAGTTACACAAGAGGAGAATAATGGTAAGCGGTGTTGGTGTCTAGTCACAATAATAGATAGGGGTACTCAATAAGGGGGCAGGTCTTCATGTCAGCTAGTTAAATGTGGGGTGTTACATGGTGCTATGACTTTTTATAAAACAAAATATGAAAATTTGGCTATCCTCCGAATAACGGGCACAAAAGATGGCGGCCAATTGCGGCTAAAAGAGGGCCTCCGTCACGTGTCAATTGCGCACTTCCGGCGACTTAATTTGCAGTTTTCCGGCGACTACCGCCACAGCAAAGAGTTCACCACGCCGCTCATGCGGCGTGAATTGGGGCTAAACTAGATAGCTAGGACTCACGAGCAAAGCTGCCTGAGATGCAGAAGCTGCTGCTCGTGAGTCCTAGCCGTCTAGTTTAGCCCCAATCAACGTCACGTGAGGGGCGTGAGGGACTTTGGCGATAGAGGTTGTCGCCGAAAAACCGCAAATTAAGTCGCCCGAAGTGCGCAATTGACACGTGACTGAGGCTCTGTTGGATGTTTTTTCGGCTGCCATCTTTTGTGCCCGTTATTCGGAGGATAGCTGAAAACTTTAGTAGATGCCGGATTTTTCATGTCACAATGTGGGTGCCCAGTAAGGTCGTCATGTCTTCACGTTGGTTAGTAAGGCGAGGGATGTTAGTGGCCTTGAGACACCTCGAGTCTCTCAGATCAGTGCACCACTTAAGTTTTTCACTGGTCTTGATATTTTGTGTTTACTGAAGTTTTTTTTTTTTGTACGTCGGCCACTATCTCTGGGACACCTTAAGTCAGTTGATATCATTTTCCTTTCAAACACCATAAGTCGCCCAATGTAGAGATCACGTTGTTCACTGGCATTCGTTAGTAGGTCATTCACCAATGTTCCTTGATAAGTCATTCACTGTCCTTGGTACATGTTGAGTCACTCAATGTCTTTCTCCTTTAGGATGTTGATTGATGTCTAGCTTCTTGTTAAACCTTTATCCCCCAAGGCACTTCCTAAATCTTTCACTGGTTTCAACAAATTATTCACTGAAGTTCCTTGGTAAGGTGTTCACTATCCTTGGGACACTTTAAAGTAAAACGATACTTTTCACAAGTTGTTTACTGACTTTCCTTGGTAAGGTGTTCACTATCCTTGGGACACTTTAAAGTAAAACGATACTTTTCACAAGTTGTTTACTGACTTTCCTTGGTAAGGTGTTCACTATCCTTGGGACACTTTAAAGTAAAACGATACTTTTCACAAGTTGTTTACTGACTTTCCTTGGTAAGGTGTTCACTATCCTTGGGACACTTTAAAGTAAAACGATACTTTTCACAAGTTGTTTACTGACTTTCCTTGGTAAGGTGTTCACTATCCTTGGGACACTTTAAAGTAAAACGATACTTTTCACAAGTTGTTTACTGACTTTCCTTGGTAAGACGTACACAGTTCTTGGTACACCGTAAGTTGCTCACGGTATTTCTCAATTAGGATACCGCTCAATGTCTTTCTCCTTTGGGATGCTTGAAGTCGCTCAATGCACTTCTGCCACTAAGTCTGCAGAACTGGCTATTGTTAATCCGTGGATGTATCATCTCGTTAATGTTAACGTTTTCATCCCATCTGTTTCTATTTTTCCCCCCCCTGCAGCTGTATGATATCAACTACCATCACACAGAAACATAAAGAAACACTTTACAACACCCCACCCCCCTTTTCGACCCCCCCCCCCCCACACACACACACACATCAACCACCACCCCCTCTACAATTTATTGGGAGAAGTCTCAGTCTCCCCTTCTGAAATTATTTTTTTTTTTTAAAGAGGGGGGGGGGGGGGAGATGGGGCTTTATAATGCCTAAGCCTTCTTGTTCCCTGCTCCCACAGTGCAAAGCAAAAAATAAAATAAAAACACACACACACACAGACTTTGGATTCTGTGAAGTACCTGCATTTCCTTGACGTAAACCTCTCGCTGTGACTGCGTGTGGCAGTTACTGACAAACCAAGCCACATTTCGTGTCTTTTTCTGCGAAATCTCCACTGAAAAATCACAGATTTAACTTAATCTTTCATGCTGTAATTGTTATAAAAATGTATTGTAAGTGCAACACACATGGCAACTAACGCATATGAGTGATGCATTTTTACTACATCCCAGACGAACAAACACTGAGCCTTTGAATTGACATACTACAGAAACATCCTTGGTTCTTTATTAATATCCTACCCCAGATGACGTCACATTAGAGTCCAACATTTTAGAGGGTGGTACGACTGGGTTTCCTAGCTTTCTGATGCTCTTAACGACCCCAAAAACATCGAGAACTGGCCCTAACCACAACCCACCTACGTCGCACGGGAGAGTGCAGCCTAGGTCCAACGACTGCATGCAGCCTAGGTCCTACGACTACATGCAGCCTTTCTACCACCCCCTGAAATATTAGACTGTCCCGTGACCTGTGGATTTCGGCTGTTTGGGGTAGGATATTAACAAAGCACCAAATTCTTAGATACCATGTAGCAAGAAGAAGAAAACAAACTCATCTCCTTGAGCACAAAGGACAAGTAGCTCATAAACAGCACCGTGTGCTTGAAGTTGGGGTATTTTCACAATGATAAACGTCAGCGTGACCAAGACAGAATGGTGATGGAGAGTACATTTTCTGGAAAATGATGAGGCAGAGGTAGACCTCCGCCAAAATGAATAAATGACATTGCAGATGCATTGGCTAAGGTCGCTCATGGAACTGGAGAACTGGCTACAGAAAGAAAGACTTTCAAGCGTGCCGTAACGACAGCGACGGTCTGTAAAAGATCAGCTGGCTAATAATGATGATTAAAAAGAATAGTCTGTGACTCCCCGTGGATGATATCTATCTAGGAACCATTGGTGTAGATGTATGTATAAATATAAGGTTCAGTTGTAAATATAGATTTATATAGGCCTATTCTTTTCCCTGCGGCCCAGAACAGTTCACAGTGCCAGTACATTGCTAATTCATCTCTTTTAAGCGCGAGTGTAATCGGCGCTATATAGAAACGTTGTGGCGAGAACCTGCACTTTTGCCTCTAGAAAAACCAAGAGCTGTATGTACGTATACAGACTAGTTGTAAGTGCATTTGTATGGTTACATGTGAAAGGTATTTATATATGCGTCACGTGATCAGCATCATGTGCCCTGCCTAAATGTGGACGGTCATGTTCTCCAAAAACACATTAATTTCCTTTGTATTTAAATCTTCTTTTTCTGCTTCTTCTTTTTCTTCTTCTGCTACTTTTTTTTGACTACTTTTGAACCAGCCTTATTGGGGCAGTTGGCAGATTGTAGCCAGGGTTACCACATGCGATTTTGGCGACTTTTTTGCCAAACACATCCAGATTCAGCAAACACCTCTTTAGTCTCCTTTCGCTACATACCTATTATGTAGGCAGTCGGTAGATTTTTAACTCCAAATTTTGCCCGTGCAGCGCCGTTGAGCTAATCTTTTTGATTTTTTTTAAAGCGCGCAACAATGCACACGGGTGTGCCATCTCACTACCCAGAGACCAGTGTGAATTACCAGAAGTCCAAATCCACGTGAAAAAAATCCCAGCCCTTACCGTGGATTGAACCCAGCACCTCTAGCACTCGAGGCGGACACCCTGGCTCGTGACCACGCAGCCCCCCATATGTGTGAGTTATGTAAATGTGAGAATGCCAGTACATCAACTTAACATTTAACCCCCCATTCCCCACATCGAAACAGTTTGCAAGCTTACGATAAGCAGAGTCAGGTAGTAGGTGGGCGCTGTTTCTCCAAGCCAGACGATTGTTTGGCGCGAAGATATCAGAGTCCGTCCTGTAGTTGAATGTCCAGTTGAAGGCGTTCATCCATGGCTTGTAGGGAGCTGCAGATGGAAAGAAAAATAAACAATGTCGGGTAAAAAAACAAAATTAAATCAGATGAAAAATAGAAATAGTCAGCTTCAAATTATCACGATCACAAAGGATAAGTGAACGTTGCAGCTAGAAATCTTTCATCAGCACACGGCGTCATGAATAGACATTTTGTAAAAAAAAATACACAAACATCACTATTGTCACGTCTGTCGAGGAAAAATCCACGTATTTCTTGCTAGTTGAAAATCAGAGGCAGTTTTGGAGAAAAAAAAAAAAAACCATACCTAACGATATATGCTGGTGAAAAGCAAAGCAAAGGACTTACTCCATGCCTCTATCACATCTGGAATCTGGTCGATCGAAAGATCGATCGATTTGCCCCTTCTAGGCTGCTACCTGTAGGTTTGTTTACCATTCCAGCATGCGATTAAAAAATCTCAAACTGGGTGGCAGGCCAGCACGGCACATCCCAGAGGCCTGGTCCAACCACCAATGAGGTTATAATTAGGGCGTCTGTAACACCAGCCATGTGTAGCCTGTAGCTCTGTGCCAGTAAGGACGTTATGGCATACGGTGCTATACTGATCTCTCAATAGTTCAACAGGCACTCCATGGAGGATGCGCTCATCAACATCATACCTACCACCTTTACTTCCCATGACATAATGGGATGTCCACTTTAGGTTGTGTGGACCTGGAGACTATGCCGGTTATAAAACGTCTAGCTCAATTCAGATTCGAATCAAAGACATTTGGACTAATACTAAGAGCGCCGACAGAAAAACCTAACATCTTGAAAGCTCCCCCCCCCCCCCCCCCCCCCCACTCTCTCTATCACCCGGTCTCTCTCCCCCCCCCCCTTATAACTATTTTTATGTGGCGGGTGGAGCTCATATATCTTCGAATTATTTTATCAGAAATAATAATCATAATTTTGTAGTAAGGTCTATCGCAGAACGTCGCTACTAATTATATATTATACATACCCAGTTATTTCAAATGCCCAATAAGCCTAAGGATTATATGATATACAAGTTTAAAGAAATATTATGTTATAAGAAAAAACAAAAGACTAATTATTCCTAATATTATGGATAAAATCGAATACAAGTGGGGAAAGGAGGGGGGGGGGGGGGGGGTGCGTGAGTCTAAAATTTCAAGGCGTGGCAGATAGGCCACATGAAGTCGTGGGACCGAGGCTGTATGCAGTAGTAGGACCTAGGCTGCATTCTCTCAGGTTGGTTCGGGTGGGGGCCAGTTTTAGATGTTTTAGGGTCGTTAAAAGCATCAGAAAGCCGGGAAACCCAGTCTTACCACCCTCTAAAATGTTGGACATGTGACGTCATTGAAAGGGGGGGGGGGTAGAATAATAATAAAGCACAGAAACGTTAGGTTATAATTGTGACTAGGTTATGTGTGCCACATAAAATAGCCTAGCATTGCAAATAGCCAAATTACTTCGTGGGGGGAAGATGTTTACAACCGTTACTGGCGCAGTAAATGATGCGAACTTGTTTGTTTCATGTTCTCTGGGTATCAGTTTAAAAAAAAAAAAAAATTAATCAATAATTGTAATTATTACCAATGGCAACGTCAGCACATACAAAGTAACGAATCCCAACGTGACGGCACGTGTAAATAATATTCAGCTCTGACTATAATTCTTAACGATCTTAGAGAAAGTATAAAGGTGGTTTTGTCGGTCAAGGCTGTTACCGATAATCCTGTTTCTCTGAATGCGCTTTCCTCCCATCTTCCCGCCGTTGTTTCTCTATTTTAGACAAAGTTCGATGGATTATTTTATGGACACCAGCTTGAAATGAGACATTATAGAATTAGTATTTTCGTGTTATGTGAAACTAGATGGACTGGGACAGGGAAAAGTATTCTAAATTCAGGGGAAAACTATTTTGTTCTCAGGACACAAAGAGGAGAATTATCCTAACAGAGGATGAGTGGACCTGATGCTATCGAGAAAAACAGACCGGGCACTATTAAAATGGGAAGAGTGTCATTTATAACAGCGAAACAGAAGGTGAACACTGTTACACACCAACAAATGATAAATATTCATCAGTTGAGGAAGAAGTTTACATGCAGCTTCAAAATATTACAAATAATGAAAGAAAGAGAAATATAAAAATGTTGATGGGTGATCTAAACGTTAAGACAGGATCAGATAACACTGGTTATGGAGAGATTATGGGAAGACATCGTCTAGGAGTAATGAATGAAATTGGAGAATTTTTCACACAATTTCTTTTGAAGGAAACCAGTATATTAAAGGTAGAAGTACTTTTCTCCATGAAAAAATACATAAGGCAACATGGCAATTACCAGACCACAAGACAACCAACCAAATTGATCATCTATGTATTGACAATAAATTTAGATCATCCCTTCATGATGTAATGGCTTTCAGAGGTGTCGATGTATTTACTGACCATTTTCTGTTGGTAAGTCAAATCAAGTTGAATTTTAAAAGATACATAACATTTTATAATCATAGAAACCAGTATAATGTAGGTTATCTTTGGGATAAAGAAATTGAGGAACAATTTTTTGTAACAGTATCTAATAAGTACCAGGTGTCGCAGCAGTTGGCTGAAGATTTAAGCACATAAGTCTGCTGTGATCAGATCCAGGGAATCTGGAATGAATCTTGTGTGGAAGTTCTTGGTAAGAAAGAACGGAAACATAAAGCGCGGATAACACCAGAAACCATTAAATTGATTAAAGAAAGAAAAGTAAAAGTAAAACAATAAACAAAACGAGAGTTGCTAAAGCTAGAGCTCAGGATAAGTACACTGAAGCCAATAAGGAAGTTAGGAGGCATAAAAGAGCAGATAAAGTGAAATATTCAAATGATCTTGCACAAGACAGCAGCAGCAAAAGGAAACGTCAAAGACCTTTACAGTAACACAAAAAAATGTGTAGGTAAACATAGTCAGGCAGCTGGATTTATTCAAAAAAAAAAAAAAAAAAAAAAAGGAAAGGTACTTACTAATACTAAAGATCAAATAGAGAGCTGAATTTTTAGAAATACTTATAAATAGACCAGGTGCGGAGGTTCCTCTAAATGTCCAGCCTTTAGAAATCCTTCACGATTCTAACTGATTTAAAGAGTATAACGAGAAACAGAAGGGGAGAAACGAAAAAGGGGGCGGAAAGGGGGAGGGGGTGGGAGCCCAAAGACAGAGGCAGATCAAAGAGTTAGGGCCAGGGTGTTGAGACGACAAGTCAGGAGTTAACAAAGTAGAAAGAAAAAATCATTTTAGGAGTAACTGATATGTACCTAAAAGAGAACACAGCATAAACTATGATAGAAGAAAGACAGTTATACTTCGTGTTAAAAAAGACCCTATGAACAATAGATAACAGTTAATAACCTGTTTAGAAATGCCGTAAATGAATTGACATTGTGTTGTATAATAAACAGTCTTTATTCAATATGATTTGTTGGATCTATGCCGTGGTATTTAACTCAAAAGATAGCTAAGACTATCTTGTCACCTGTTTCGTTAGGCATGCTTTCGCTTAGGGGCGGGGTGGAAATGTGGGGGGGGGGGGGGGGGGGGGGGTTGGAAAACTTGATAGTGTCACAAACAGAAACAAAGAAAATGACACACGAAGATACAGACAGAACGCAAAATACAAAAAGAATTAGTAAAGCTGTATAGACATACATATAAACAGGAAGAACACTAAAATAAAATAAAAAGGCTACATTTCTAACTCCAAAACAAAAATAGGCACACTGCCTCAAGACTGATGGCGTAAAATTTGACTAAATGGATGCTTCCTTCGAAGTCGGAGTGCACATGTCAGAGAGGTAAAGAACAAGCAGTTTGTATAAAAACAAGTTAGATTTGAAAACGGATCACTAGCAATACGTGTTTCGTCCTTTTTAGGAAGAAATTTTTTGTTATTTGAAGCCCCACCCTGGCTTTTGCCAGGGGCCGCAATATAGGCAGGCCATAAATATGGCCAATTGTCTGAACGCGGTTTCTGGGATCTCTCCACGGCGATCCTCATCCACATGGTGGCACTTTGTATCATCGGGTGTTTATCGCTTGTGTGATGTCCTGGTGGGGTAGAAAGTCAGTCAGTCAGTCAGTCAGAAAACGGACCTGCAAGCAGAACTCAGGTTGTGGAACAAGAAGGCTACAGTCGAGAGGTGGGTCGACAACCAGAACTTTCCGCTAGGGCCGACAGCCAGTGAACGCCAAGAAAAAGAGGGTGAAGAGAAGAGCATCATGAACTAATGATGGATTAGAAGACGGACACAAACCGTCACAACAATCACGTGTGTGTGTGTGTGTGTGTGTGTGTGTGTGTGTGTGTGTGTGTGTGTGTGTGTGTGACTCTTGTATATGTTTAAATAGCAGATCACTTCTGTCGGTTGCACAATGCATGGTGGTCTTTGTGGTTGCTCTTGACAAGCACCTGTGACCGAATGAGCCGCTTTTATGTAGCGGCTAGACGCTCTCCTGCGTGTCCGTGTCTCCCCCCCCCCCCCTTTTTTTTCTGATGTTAACAACGTGACGCATCGAGTGTCGACTAGTCTATATTTAAAAAAAAGGTCTAATTTGCCCAACACAGCTGAGGACGTGAGAAAGGATCCTTGTACTTGCGACTCAGCACCCGCACATCCCAATTCTTAGCACAAGAGCTTCCTCGTGTGGGTTACGGAGTCCCATTGTGGGGGAAACAAGAATAGACGCACTGCCTCCCCAGCAAGCATGTCGTAGGTGTCGACTAATTGGGGAGCTTCTTTCGAAGTCGGAGAGCATCTGCCTGAGTGGCAAGAAGCAACCAAATGCACACAAATAAGCCAGTTAAAACGGATGTACACGCAAAACTCAGGCCCTGGCTCAAAGCCAAAGTTCAGATGGACGAACAACCAGGACTTTACTGCCAGAGCCTACAGCAGAAGAACAAAGAAGAAGAAAAACACAAGAACACACACGTATCACGTAGTTCCGTACTTACTCGGGTAGCCGTAATGAGCCGGACTCTCCCAGTAACATTTCACCCATATTTGTCCAGCTGGTCTTCGGGGCAGAGTGCTCTTTCCCAAGGCTCCAACAAAAAACAGAAGCACATCAGCCGTTGACTTTCTGTCTCCGCCATCAAAGATACACTCGCTGTAAGGGCAGACTTTAAAGTCTCGATTGTGCAGATTCAAAGATTCCAAGATAAACCATTGTGGGCAGTTATAGCAGCTTATGACTTTATGTTTTCTTGAGAAATTGGAGTTCCTGATTGAAGAATTAGTGCTGTATATTTTCGGGGTGGATATGTAGGGCGATTTAAATGAGTGAGCTTCAGCTGGCTCATACAGCTGTTTCTTCTTCTCTTCTTCAGAAAAAGAAGTATTATTTGTAAAGTTATTGCTGGATGTATCGCTGGTGACATAGGACATATATTGTATTTTGATGAGATGATGAGGAATTCCAGGCACTAACACGTGAAATAAAAGCGCGTCAGATACTGTGAGAATTATCAGTGTTACTCCGATAAGTAATGCCATGGTTTTCTTCCAATGGGAGGAAAACCATGGCGGTTGAAACAGCAGCATCTGAATAGGTTGGTATGGTTGTTTATCGATGCAGTCAGAACTGTGTAAGCCAAATGGTCATCTCGGGTTCATATCTGAGTGTTTAATTAAAAAAAAAAGTCAAGTGTTATTAAAGGTGCACTTACATACGCTGTATTCAATATTTGAAATATTGGTGAAATGTTCTTTTTCTTCTTCTTCTTCTTCTTCTACTTCTTCTTCTTCTTTTTTTTTCTTCTTCTTCTTCTTCTTCTTCTTCTTTCTTCTTCTTCTTCTTCTTCTTCTTCTTCTTCTTCTTCTTCTTCTTCTTCTTCTTCTTCTTCTTCTTCTTCTTCTTCTTCTTCTTCTTCTTCTTCTTCTTCTTCTTCTTCTTCTTCTTCTTCTTCTTCTTCTTCTTCTTCTTTTTCTTCTTCTTCTTCAGCATTCCGAACCCTTGAGGTTAACTGCTGCAGATATCACCCGCCTCCATTCTTATCTCTTGTTGGCCTTCTCTTTCCTGCTAGTAACATCAAGTGTGTGCAGGTCTGTCTGGATATTATCTCTCCATTGTTTTCTTGGTCTGCCTCGTGGTCTACGACCATTCATCTCCCTGGTGTATAAAGTGTATACTTCTCTGTCATCTGACATTCTTTCAATATGTCCCAACCATTTCAGTCTTTTAGCTCTCATGATGCCAGTGATCAATGGTGATTTAAACATACTATGAATCTCGTTGTTGCTTCTCACTCTCTATTTACCGCTGTTTGCATCTTTGATGGGTCCAAACATTCGTTGTAAAACTCTGTTTTCGAAAACCTGTAATAAGGCTTCATCTATTTCAGCTGTGCTCCAAGTTTCAGAGCCATACAACACGACTGGTCTTATCAACGTTTTATATATTTTGATTTTGGTCTTGCGAGACAGATACTTTGACTTAGCAGATGTTGAAGGGCATAGTATACTTTATTTCCAGGTCGTATTCTAGAATTTATTTCTTCTCTCAGCATGTTGGAGCAGTTGAAGTTTGCACCCAAGTACTTTTACGTTTTTGTTCGTCTGATTTTCATATTATCATTTGTACGTGGCCGGAGTTTATATCATTTTCCTGTCTAGTTATTATCATGTTTTCTGTCTTATCTTGATTAAAAACGTCCCATTTTCTGAGCTGATTCTTTTAAGACATTCAGTGTTTTAACAGTCTCTAGTTCATTTTTTTCCCAAGGTTATCAATGTCATCAGCATATTCAAGTATTCTTGTAGATTCTCCTATACTACAATCTTGTTTCAATTTCCTTTTAATTTTCTCCAGGGCCAGGTTGAAAAGAAGTGGGGACAGAGCATCACCTTGCTTTAAACCAGATGTTATTTGAAAAGGGTCTGACTTTCTGCCTTTATATATTATTATAGTACGAGTGTCTTCCATACATAGTTTGGTTATGCTAATTAACCTTTTTGGTATTCCAAAGTCCTTCATAGCATTCCATAAACTGTTTCTATGCACACTATCTATCATACGCTTTTTCAAAATCAACAAAAACATTATGTACATCTTTTCTTTATTCCTAATTTTGCCCTACCATTTGCCGTAAAATGAATATCTGATCCTTTGTTGATCTGTTCTGTCGGAAACCCGCTTAGTAATCTCCCAATATGTCTTTGACGTATTGTTTTAGCCGGTTTAGCAGTACCGACAAAAATATCTTATAGTTTGTAGATAATTGTGATATTCCTCTATAATTTTCACACTTATACTTGTCTCCTTTCTTAAAAATGGGGATTAATAAAGACACTTTTCCATTCATGGGGTAGTTTTTCCCTCCTCCAAATTAGTTTGATTAATTGATATAATTAATCCCCCGTGTGGGTTCCGGGGCCCCATTGTGGGGAAAACAAGAATAGACCCACTGCCTCCCCAAAAGCATGTCGTAAGAGTCGACTAATTGGGGAGCTTCCTTTGAAGTCGGAGTGCATCTGCCGGAGAGGCAAGGAACCAACAGTCTGTATTCAAGAGAATGAGATCTGTAAAACTGATGCACACGCAACACTCAGGTTCTGGAGCGGGACTGCAGTTCAGTAGTGGACGATCAACCAGAACTTTCCGCCAGAGTGTACAGCTGGTGAACGCGAAGAAGAAGAAGAAGAAGAAGAAGAAGATATAATTAATTAATTCTTCAAATACATAGGAAGCATAATATCATCAGCCGGCAAAACAGAAGATGAGATCGATGACAGATTTAACACAGCAAATCACTAAGAGATAAACATGTGCCAGCAGAAACAAAAAGAGCATTTTTTTTAAATACAATCTTTTTGCCTAATCTGCGCTATCAATGTCAGACCTGGTCAATGACAGAACACTCAAAAAAATTACAACTGAAATAAGATTCCTGCAAACGGATCTGAATATAACAATAAAATATCAGATCTGGAATGATGAACGGTGAACGAGAATGGGAGTAGCGGCAAATCTGGATTTCATTAAAAGGCAACAAGTGAAATGGTTTGGTCATCAACAAACAGTACACCACATCAGGCAATGATGTACAGACCAGGTGGAAAGACGAGGCGGACTGAGTGAATAGCAAAGAGTCCTTGAGAATCTGCTTTTAAGAAGTGCCCAAACGGGCGCTTTCACGTCATTATACTTCACCTCGACACAGCAAGGTAAGAGCGGATCAAGATGAAATGAGATGCCTATTTAATACAAGGACAGATATAAAAACCGAACAAAAAGTATGTCAGTGAGTTCTACAGTATAACAAAAAAGTTAGTTGCGTATCCTTTAAAGACTGTTTGCAGAACCAACCCCAGCATTTTTTTGGCTGTTGTGGTTTTACTGGGCAAATTTTACGTTCAGTAGTTTGCCATTGCTTAATGAACGTTCAGCTGTCGGTACCACTGTCGAAACCAACGCAAGAAAAATTGTCTGCATTTGAGATCAAAACCGGTACCACGGCATTACAAAGCGCGTTCGCAATGAAGTGGCTAGATTGAATGTTTTTACAAATACGTTATCAGTTTACATGTGCAACACGGAGAAAATAACACTCGCTGCATGATTTCACCACTAATTTAAAAACTGTCCTTAACACGTGAAACCTAACAGTGACTATACAATGCCAGTTGGGAGCCACAGTGATAAATCCGCTAGAAGCTGGCCTGCGAATCCAAAGGTCGTGGACACAGGTCCTACCAGAGCTAGGTTTTTTTTTTCCCTCCAAAAGTGACACTACGTTTCTGGTCGACTCAGCCTTAAATGGGTACCACGCAACTTCCTGTAAAGCATTACTTACACCGAATCCCTGAAATGATTTTCTATGACATATTTTAGCAAATTCAACCCCACCCACCCCTCTCCTCCTCCCTTTCCACAATCCCCCCCCTCCTACTCCTCCCTTTCCACAATCCCCCCTCCTCCCTCCCTTTCCACCCCACCCCACCCCACCCCCCCACCCCCTCCTCCTTTCCCTTTCCACAATCCCCCCCTCCTCCTCCCTTTCCCCCCCACCCCTCCTCCCCCCTCCTCCTCCCTTTCCACCCCCCTCCTCCTCCTCGCTTTCCACCCCCCCCCAGTACTTTCGGCTCAATCCATTGTGTCATACCATTTTCTGAAACACGACTAACCCGGCTCTCTAGCGTAGTTGGCTAAACTGGATTGCGCGGAGACCGGGTGACGAACTCCTTGTGGTCCGGGTTCACTCCCGGTATTAGGCAGAAAAGCCACATTTCTCCCAGATTTACGGTATTTACAATGGAATCAAGGCCGAAGGGTTGCGATATCCATAATACATAGCCTAGGGGTTAACAACTCATGTCTTCTGGATACTAAAACAAACAAACAAATACGACTCAATAATGGAACCGATCGAAAAGTAGGTCTTCAATAGCTAAACCAACACTTACCTCTGATCATTGAAGTTATTTTCCCTGACATGTGTTGGAAAATTCTCATAATTTCGTTCCCATGACTTGCGGCTCCATAAACTGTATGGTGCAATTTTTCTAACCAACTCACATTTGGAATTAACAACAAAGTTTATGCAAAGCCAATCTTCATGCAAAGCCAATCTATGTGCAAACCAATATAATTATATATAATTATTAGTATTTAAGGCTGAATCCTCGGCGACCGGGTCGCAAATTGGCTGGCTGGTAAATTACTTCGTCGTCGGTCGGGACAATATCTGGGTTTGCCTCCTTTGATTGTATTAACACCGCAGAAGCTATTTACCGGTGTGCAAGGCTAAGTCATTTTACATGGCGCACACAACCTGGTCACAATTATAACCTAAAGTTATCTTTTCGAAAATGCTGGTTTAACGTGAATTTTTTTCCGCAAAGCAAGCCAAGCCAAATCTTTATGGTCTTAACGTTCAGGGGCCGCGTTAGCGCAGTCGATAGGAGACTAGATTTCAAATCCAGCTGCGACTCGCTCCAGCGCACTGCCGGTGTTCGAAACCGGGCGATTTCCGGGGTTCACCCAGCCTCTAGGAAATGGGTACCAAAGTTAACACTCTGGGGTGAATGGAGGAACGTCGCTGTAGCTACGGAGTTACGTGCGAACGGTGACACAGGCGGACAATTTTTCTATCAGTTGTCCGTACTAATGGCAGAACACTCATGGTTTATAACCGTGTGCAATGACGCTGGTTCATATCTCCTGACTTTATATTTACCTTTACATTCAAGAAATAACATATTTTATCAACCTCCCGTACTTCTTCTTCGCGTTCACAGTCTGTAAAGTCCTTCGGAAAGTTTTGGGTGTTGATTCACTTCTGGGCCATTGCAGTGTTTCAGCACCTGACTTATTTAAAAGTAGATGCTCTTTGAGACAGGAAGACTGAGCACGCATTGGAATGACCATTGTGCAGAGATACCGATTGTGATAATATATCATTTAGACGCTGCGTTTGTTTGTGATGTCAGATACCGGGTTATGGTTGACACTGTCAATCCGGGGATCTCCTTCTCATTTCTGTCATCTCCAGCTGTTGCTTTGACAGTAGTTCCTTGCCACAAGGTGTGTTAGTGCGGGATCA